AAAAAAAAAAAAAGGGGGGGGGGTGATCCTCTTCTTTTTTTATTTTATTTTAGTCTGTTGATTAGGACTGGGAGGAAAGTATAGCTGGGTTGGTTACCTACCTGCGTTTTCCCTCCCACCCACCCCTTTGCATGCATTCCCGGTTTGGTACAGTGCCACGTCAGCAACAGTGCCACGTCAGCAACAGTGCCACGTCAGCAACAGTGCCATGTCAGCAACAGTGCCACGTCAGCAACAGTGCCACGTCAGCAGTGCCACAGTGCCACCTCAGCAGTGCCCCGCCACCATGACGGGCTCAGTTCTGGGCATGCCAGGCCAACTGACCAATGAGTCCATTGTCGAGTACCGACAGCGTTTCGAAGCTCAGCTCGCACTGATCGAGGCTGAGGAACAGCGTCAGGTGGCAGCCGAGGCTGCCCGCCTACAAGCTGAAGCGGCGGCAACAGTTGAAAAGCAGCGGCTTCAAGCCGAAGCCGAAGTAGATACCCAGGCACACCGCAAGGAGGCCCAGGATCTGTTACAGCGGCATGAGGCCACCAGCATAAAAAAAGCTCAAGTTTTGGCATTTTGAACCATCTGAGCAGCACGACGACGCGACACCGGAAGAGCAGCACAAGGAGTTCCTGGCCAAACTCGTGACCCGGTTGGTTTACACTTGTAACCACCCGCGGTCCGAGCTGGCGAATCTCCGACGGGCGGTGCGGAACCACAAGGAGCTGCACGAGGATGCTACAGGGGCACTTGATTCCCGTGTACAGGACTTGGAGCAATCTGCACCAAGACCAGATGTTGGCGAGTCCAGCAGTGCACCCTCTACCCGCCAATTGGAGGAATGAGTTGACCACGTCGTCGCAATGCTCGGCGACATCAGCACCTTCGCTGCACCAGCCACCATCAGCAAGCAGCTGGACACCTTGAAGACCGAGGTTCAGCAACTGCACCAGCTGCCCAACAAGGATGGCAACACTGCGCGGCACTACAAGATGCCGACATTCCGCATCGAAAAGTTCGATGATTATACGCATCAAGACCCGGTCCCCTAGTGGGAAGGTTATACGACGGAACTTCGGATTTTTTTCGTCCCGGGCAGATGCCAGATCTGGCTTAGCCACCTGGCAACCATCCACGGCGTCGACGTCGCCGATCTGCACACAAAGATTCCTTGGGCAGACCTCACGAAGCTATGGAAGAAGCGGTTCATCGTGGACGACGCCCCGACGCTCGCCATCAACTGCCTCTTCGCTATGACGCAAGGCAACACAGCGACACGCGACTGGCTCATGGAATGGCAAAAGATTGCGGCGACGCCCGATATCGAATTGCCATTTTCGCATCTGCGCCGAAAGTTCTACAACTGGTCATGTGCCGCCTTGAGCCTTGCACTTGGTGATCATGAGCAATACGCGACCTTCGCCGAAATCATCGACAAGGCAAGGGAGATCATCAAGACCAATAGGGCGGTTGCACACGAGAAGTCGGCATGGCAGCCAACCTATGTGGAGAAAGGAAAATTTGGTCCGCGTTCGCAGCATGTCGCTGCAGTCCACACGGACAACATTGTGGAAGACCCGGCAGCCACCCAAGCATCATGTGAGGGAGATCAGGTGGCTGCTGTCCAGCCGCGAAGCAACAACAACTCCCGAGGAAAAGGGAAGGCGAAAACCGCATCGCCGGCCGGAAACGGACAGCCAGCACCATGGGTCAAGTTTCACTTGACCGAGGCCGAATACAAGTGGCGCGGCCGGTATGGCTGCTGCTATTGGTGCAACAGCACCAAGCACAAGACCTCCCAATGCCCGGATCAAGGCAAGGAGGATGTTCGGCCTGACATCAACTCGGGAAAATGAGTTGCACGGGACGTGAGGCGACTCCACCTCTCACTCCGCCAGATTCGGCCGCCTTGCTAGTGGTCTCCTACACATCTGGGGAGGATGCGAATGTCGCAAGTCCTCGGTTTACTTACGAGGATTATGCTGTCCTCTTGGTCCCACCGTTGGACTAACCACTCCACGTGCAACAATCCATCGCATGCACGGTTTCACTACCATCGGCAACCGAGTCGGCAACTTCGCCGCCATCTATCGCTGGGGATTCAACGACATGGTCAAGACTTGAAGAGCTCGACCCGTTGACGTTTGCGGACTTCCAATGGATGCCCCTTCCTCGGTCCGGTCGATTGCCGAAACCGCATTGCAACGTGTTGATGGCACAAGTGCGGGATTACTTGCACACTGCAGTACCAACTCCGTTGATGGACGTCGGAGTAGAGGTTGTCGACCTTCACGCCTACATTGCGAAGATCGACCGCGAGTTCAAGACACAACGGTACGACGACATCGATGCACCATTGTTGTACATACGCATTCAGATCGGAGAGGCGACCTGCAGCGCTTTGATCGATTGCAGAGCTACTCGCAACTACATGAGCCAAGACTTTATGGTACGCGCTGGCCTTGGGCCACGCGTTCGGAGGAAGTCGCAGGCCACGCAAGTCACGCTGGCCGACGGTCACACGCACAAGTCAATCGACCAGTGCATTGATGTCGTCCCCGTGTACTTTGCCCCGCATGCAAGCGAGGTCGTGTCCTTCGATATTTTGGACACCAAGTTCGACATGATCTTGGGCATGTCACGGCTGCGAAGCGAGGATCACCTGGTGAACTTCTACCGCTGCACCGTTCACGTTCGTGATCAGAACGGAGTACTAGTCCCATGCACGGTGCCTGGGTGTGTTTTCTCCACGCCCTCCCGCCCCAAGACATTCCATCGACGAACTCACCACCGGACCCACGCATCACCGAGCTTCTCGACGCCTACGACGACGTGTTCGAAACACTACACGGAGTAGTACCGGATCGGCCCATCCGCCACGAGATCATCCTCGAGGACGGGGCCGTACCTCTGCGTGGTTGCATCTACCCTATGAGCGAGGAAGAGTTAAGTGTGCTAAGGGCACAACTCGACGATCTTCTCAAGAAAGGCTGGATTCGGCCTAGCTCTTCGCCATACGGTGCTCCCGTTCTCTTCGTCCGGAAGAAGAACAAGGAGCTGCGGTTGTGCATCGATTATCGCAAGCTGAACATGCAAACCGTCAAGAACGTCGGCCCTCTTCCGCGCATCGATGACCTCCTCGAACGACTGGGCGGTGCCAAGTTCTTCTCCAAGCTTGACCTCAAATCGGGATATCACCAACTCGAGATCCGGTAAGAGGACCGCTACAAGACCACGTTTAAGACGCGATATGGGCATTTCGAATGGCTGGTTATGCCTTTTGGCCTTACGAATGCCCCGGCCACATTCCAAGCGGCTATGACAACGGAGTTCCGACACATGCTGGATAGATTCGTACTCATCTACCTCGACGACATCTTGGTGTACAGCCGGAGTTTGGACGAGCATGTGGAGCACCTGCACACCGTTTTGGGGCGGCTACGACAAGCCAAGTACAAAGCCAACCGCGACAAATGCGAATTCGCGCGGCAAGAGCTGGGGTACTTGGGACATTATGTGGCACCGCAAGGCATCCGTCCGCTTGCGGACAAGATCGAAGCCATCCGCGTATGGCCCGAGCCCACCAACACCACGGACGTCCGTTCATTCATGGGGTTGGCAGGCTACTATCAACGCTTCATCACCGGCTACTCAAGGATTGCCGCACCTATGACGAGATTACAATCGCCAAAGGTGCCATTCGTATTCGATGACGATGCACGTCGGTCATTCCAAGCACTCAAGACGGCCATGCTCATGGCACCCGTCCTTAGCATCTACGACCCCACCCTGCCAACGAGAGTGACAACCGATGCTTCCGGCTATGGCATTGGGGCAGTCTTGGAAGAACACGACGGCGACGATTGACACCCTGTGGAGTATTTCAGCCACAAAGTGTCTCCCATCAATTCACTTGATGATGCAAGGAAGGAGTTGCTCTTGTTCATGATGGCTCTCAAGCGATGGCGGCACTTCCTCCTTGGGCGTCGTAGGTTCACATGGGTCACGGACAACAACCCGTTGACCTACTACAAGACGCAGGATACGGTGAGCAGCACGATCGGACGATGGATGTACTTCATCGACCAATTTGACTTCACACCAAAACATCTTCCCGGCCTCTCCAATCGCACAGCAGATGCACTCTCGCGAAGACCTGATCTTTGCGCGATGACACATCATGCTTTCGCATTTGACGAGGAACTCCAGCGCCACTTCGTCCGGGGCTATGAGTCTGATCCGGATTTCGCCACGTTGTATGCGCAACTATCTTCGGATCACCCGCCGGCCAGCCACTATCGCATCATCGACGGTTACTTGCTCCTCCACTCGAGAGGCAAGGACTTATTGTGTGTCCCACGCGACCGTCGTCTTCGGACTCACCTTCTCGGTGAGTACCATGACTCACAACTCGCCGGCCATTTTGGAGTTAATCGCACTATTGCACGACTTCGGCAACGATTCCGATGGCCTGACCTCATTACCGATGTCACTCGGTATTGCGGCTCTTGCGAAGTTTGCCGACGAAGCAAACCCCGCAACCGCAATCCCTACGGCGAGTTGCGCCCAATGCCTATCCCACAGGAACCCGGCCTCTCCATTGCCATGGACGTCACCTGTCCGTTTCCCCGCGACCGGCTCGGGCACGACAGCATCATCACGGTCGTTGACCGTTTGAGTAAGTATGCGCGATTTCTTCCTTGCAAGTACTACGCCACGGCTCCCGAACTTGCGCGCCTCCTACACACCAGCTGGATTTGCAGCCACGGTGTGCCGGAAGACATCGTCAGCGACCGCGACACTCGCTTCATGTCGGCATTTTGGACTTCTCTCATGCAGGAATCCGGCACGAAGATGAAACCAAGTTCGGCTCGGCATCCACAAACGGACGGGCAAACGGAGCGGGCACATCAAACCGCTCAAATAATGCTTCGTACGCTCATCTGTCCGGATCAGAAGGATTGGGTTGACCGCCTCCCCGACATCGAGTTCGCCTACAACACTTCGTTGCATCCGGTGATCGGCGTAACTCCATTCGAGCTGCACCACGGTGGCCGGAAAGGGCCGTATCTTCGCTGATCTTCTCCTCGCACGAACAGCCGACATAGACGTTGCTTGCTCCCCCACTTTCGTTCGGAAGTACAGGGAATTGCCGTCTCAAGCCCGCGGGAACATGCAAAAGGCTCAAGTCCGCATGCAACAGCAAGCCAACAGGCATCACGTGCCATGTCCCATCCGCGTCGGTGATCTGGTGTGGGTCTCCGCGGAAGAGTTTGCACTCGAACAGGATGTTTTACGCAAACTGCTTCCCAAGTGGTTTGGACCATGGCCCGTAACATCAGCCGCGGGCGATGAGCCCGATGGCCCCTCATTTGTAATCAACATTCCCCCGCATCTGACGGTCCATCCAGTCTTTCACGCCTCGAAGCTCGCAACATATACACCAGCCAAGAGCGACGACTTCCCGGGCCGAAGATCGCAAGATCCTCCATCTATGGATGGTCATCAGGAGGTTGACCGCGTCATCACGGATCGCAAGTACGACAGCAAGCGTCGACAGTACAAAGTTACATTCAAAGCATGCGATCCCGACGGCACTCGGTGGATTTCAGGAACAGATTTGAAAGCATCCGCACCGCTGATCTACGCTCACTACGAGCGACAAAGGTTAGCTCAGGGACCTTCATGACCTGCCCCTCCCACGCGGACTGTGGTCCCTCCCTCAGACAGACAGCTTCGCCCTCACAGGTAAGCTCGGTCTTTCAAGGAGGTGGGGGTGTGGCATACTGCGCAGCCACACAGGCCTGCAGGGCCTGTCCCGCAGTCTCAGCCTAAAAGCCTAGAAACAAGGGCTTACAGGCCCCGTGTCGTTTCAGCCTGAAAGACTGAAAAACGAGGGCCTGCAAGCCCTATGTCGTTTCAGCCTAAAACAGGGCCTTTCAGGCCCTGAATCTTTTCAGCCTGAAACGGAGGGCCACTTCCGGGCCCTCATAAGATCGACCTGCCCTAACACTCAGGCACCAAACCAAGGTTTCGGAACAGGCTATTTTTGGCCTGGTCCCCACGCCAGCCTCAGCAGGAGCTGCAGCGGCAGGCCCTGGCTCACTTCGGCATTGGCAAGAGCAGCCTCTTGGACTGGCCCGCCCTACAGCTGCAGGCAGTCAGGAGGCAGGCCGAGTAGTACATAGGGAGTTCCCATGCACTTCACGGGCAGTCAGAGGCCGAGGAGGTAGTAGTCTTCAGGATTCGGCAGCAGCACTCTGGAGGAGCGTTGCAGGAGTAGCTTAGCGCTAGCAGTAGTCTCCAGCGCTGGGCGCTAGTAGCAGTAGCGGTAGTCTTCAGCGCTGGGCGCTAGTAGAGGTACAGGAGGTGAGAGAGGGAGATGGCTGGCTGAGGCCAGGGAGACTCACCTGTGGCGCCATAGCTCCAGCTTCATCTTCAAGGTACCTGCATCAAGGCGCCAACTTCACAGGTTAGTACCGGACTGAGAGAGAGAGAGAGAGAGAGAGAGAGAGAGAGAGAG